ATCTTATGATTATATCATGATTATGATGATGATGATGTCAAAATGATGATGATGATGATGATGATGTCAAAATGATGACGATCTTATGATTATGATAATGATGACAACGACAACGATGAAGTTGTTATGATGAAATGATAACTGGTTGTGCAGTTTTTATTCAACATAGCAAGCCTACTTTGACCTGTGATCAAGTTTGACAATAAAATTGTAGAGTACATACTGACTGGCTTGTGTTGTTGTCGCTTTTGTTGTTGCTGTGTGTGTTGTTGTGTGTCTAGGATTGTTGTTGTTGTTGCGTTTGGGTTTGTTGGTGCTGTTTTAGTTATGTTTGTTTTTGTGTTGTCGCTATGTGCTGTTGTTTTGTATCTGTTATGTACGATTGCTTTTGGGATAGTTGTTTGCTGTGTTCGGCTGTAGTGTTTGTGTTGTGTTTAGCTGTTATTTTTGTGTAATTTGTATCAATGTTTGTTTTTAGGTATTTCTTATGTTTGTTTTTGTTTTTTTTTCTGTGTTTATAATATTTTGATGTTGTTTTTTGTGCACTTTTGATTATCCATCCTTCTATATTTGTTATCTGCTAACTTTTTGTTTGTGTTTCTTTCGTTTGCGTGTGAGGTGGTTGTTGCTTCGTTATCGTCATCGTCATTATCACCATCACCATAAACATCATCACCATCACCATAAACATCATCACCACCACCACCAACATCATCATCATCGTTGTCCTCGTCAACAACATAGTCAGCTAACGTTCCTATCAGCAATTAAAGAGATTTTTGTTGTTGCTAGCATTTCCTAAACATCACCTCCCTGGAATGAAGCCAATTTTGATGACGTCATTACAATTATTATTTATGATGCAATGATGACGGTGACGTCATTACAATTATTATTATGACGCGATGGTAATGATGACGATATTAAACATTATTATAACGATAATGATAGTGAAATTTGATTCAAAACGTTTTTTTCTTTGTTGAAAAAAGAATTTTTTGTTGTTGTTTCTTCAAAAATCACTAAACTAATTTCACGAGAGGAACATTCAAAACTGCAAATAACGAAAATAAATGATCGAGTTCACAAATGTAAAGTGCATTATGAAACGCAAATATGAACATGCCATTAAAAAAAAACTCTTTGAACTTTGGATAACTTGAAAACGTGAAAATAAAAAACACTGGTGGTTCATTACAACAACAACAACAACAACAAAAACAACAACATTAATAACAATAACAACAACAGCAGCAATAAAATCAACAACACCAACAACAGCATCACATTATAACCGCACTGACATTCAGACAACAAAACTATTGTCTGAATTCAAAAGTGCGGTGCTTACGACACAACAACAACACAAACAACAACAACACAACAACAAAATCGTTCAAGTGTATTATTAAAGATGATACAGCAGAAACGTAATAGCGACAAAAGCAAAACCAAAAACAAAAAAACATCAACTACAACTACACGTACACAATATACAACAAAATATACAAAGCAACAATATTACAGTAACAAAACAACATCAAAAGTTCAAAACAACAACAACATCAATAACAAAACAAAATCAACAACAAAAACCCCAATCACATCAACATTTACCCTACAACAATGTAATGACATAACAACATTAACAACAAAACCACAACGTCAAAACATCAACAACAACAACTACTACTACAACAACACAGCAACAAGTTACCAGCTTAACATCACCTGTCAGTCAGACAAGCAAACAGACAATCCTAATCGTTCATTTTTTACCATCCATCCATCATCTAGATTCTTTCTTTTTCAACACATTCAACTATCACCCAGCAATTTACATTGTTTTGCTGTTATTGCCTTGGTTTATTGTTGCTGATGCCCGCGTTGCTGTTGCTGTTGATGTTGTTTGTTTGTTGATGTTTTTGTGGTTTGTTTGTTGATGTTGTTGTTGTTGTTGTTGCTGTTGTTAGTGCCATCATGTTCTGTTGATGTTGCTGTTGTAAGTGTTCTTTCTGCTTCGTTCTTTCAATGTTTAACTGCTATCAACAACAAAGCTTATATTTACTTACATAGTAATAGTAGTAGTAGTTGTAGTTGTTGTAGTAGTAGTAGTAGTAATAGTAATAGTATTAGTGGTAGTAGTAGTAGCAGCAGCTGTAGTAGCAGTAGTAGTTGCTGTTGTTGTAGTTGTTGCAGTTGTTAAAGACAATGGTAGTGTTTTGTAAACGGAGTTAATGGATGTGTTGTCGTTTTTGTCTCGTTGTCGTCATCAAATAACAATTGATCACATGATTTTCAACTACTCCTTCAAACTAATATTTTTTATTTTTTTTTATAGTTTTAATGAGGGTGAATTTAATGACGACGATGATGATGACAGTGAAGAAGAAGAAGAAGAAAATGATGAAGAAGATGATAATGTTAATGATGATGATATTCGTGATGTTGATAATGATGGCGGAAAACGTTTACCTTCATTGTCATCATCATCGTCCTTATCATCATCGTCATCATCAATGAAGTCATCATTATCATCTTCATTTAGATTATCAATCAATCTATCAATCAACCAATAGGAAACTTATATAGTGCCAATTAAATATTCTCAAAGGCTCTACCGTAATTATATAAACATAGAAGTCTACAATACTATGAATAAGAGAAAACTCAAGTAAAATTATCGAAGTTTAACAGTGAATAAATATGTTTTCAGTTTTTTTTTAAATGGTTTAAGAGACAGTTATCATCACCGTCATCTTCATAAACATTATCATCATCATCACCAATGTTATCATCATCTTCAAAAACATTATCATCATCATCACCAATGTTATCATCATCTTCAAAAACATTATCATCATCATCACCAATGTTATCATCATCGTCGTCGTCGTTGTCATCTTAATTTTCTTTATCATGGAGCTTTTATGTCTTTGTCAGGAAATTTTTATTTTCATAAAACAGGGGGCGGATGCTCCTTTAAGCACTATGGCACGTTCTCTTTATGTTTGTATGTTTGTTTTGTATATTTTTGTGTTTGTATGTTTGTCTTGTATATCCTTGTCTTTGTATGTTTGTCTTGTATATTTTTGTTTTGTATGTTGTCTTTTTGTGTTTATATTCACAAGTTATTGTATTTTTTTGTGTTTGTATGTTTGTTTTGGATACTTGCATACAAATGTTATTTTCATTTTTTTTTCATGGTCTTTGAAATTTTTCAAACATTTTTATTCATGGATCTGTTTTGTTTTATTTGTGTCTGATTCAATTTGTGATAGTTTTTGTATTTTTGTGTTTGTATTTGTAGGTTTTGTATATTTTCTATTGTATATGTATGTTTTTGTATTTGTTTGAAGAGTTTTTGGTTTGTTGTACTTGGGAAGTTTATTTGTCTTTTTTAAATTTTTTTTTTCATTTTTGTTTGAGATGTTGAGTATATGTTGAGACATCTTTTCATTAACTCTACTGTGATTTTTGATAGTGTTTTGGTACACACAGACTGTAGAATACTTTGGGTATTTGTATTATTTGTGTATTTGTTTTAGTTTGTGTATTTCTATTTTGTATTTGTATTTTTATGTATTTGTTTGTTTTTCTCCAGCAAAGCTTTGTACTTGGTGTATGTTTGTGTATTTGAAGAATTGTTCGTCGGTTTGTTTGTCAATTTGTCGGGTTTGTTGGCAATGATGGATGACACAACATACATGAATGAAGCCTGCCTCTCTGACTCATCATCGTCTTCGTCATCATCGTTACTATGATCGTCATCATCTTCATCATCATCATCGTTCTATCATTGTTTAAATCATAATCAGACTGATCATCATCGATCGTAGCATTAATATTAACATTGCCATCTTCCGTATTTTAATCTTCAAAACCATTGCCGCCACTAACAAAACGTTATCATTTTTATTATTTTCATCCTTATTACCTCAATCAAATTGTTAAAATCACCGACTTTTTCATTATCGCGGTTATAAACATCTCTGTCTTTTTCCGGTAACACTAAATTTTAATAGTAATAGTAGTAATTGAACTAGCAGTAAAAGTATCAGTTGCAACCGTAATAGTTTAGTAGCAGCAGTAGCAGCAGTAGCATCAGTAGTAGCAGTAGCAGCAGCAGCAGCAGTAGTAGTAATGAATATAAGTTCTTAAAAGCTCGTTACGTGTGCTTCGGCAAAGTAGATGATGTATGATAGGGCTATTATATTTTCATACAACTCTTCACGATGTTTTGTTTTTCCTTTTGTATGTTTTGCTGTCTCTTTTGTATATTATATTTTCATACAACTCTTTGCGATGTTTTGATTTCGTTTTGTATGTTTTGTTTGTATAATATTTATTTTCTTGTGGGCAACTTTAATGTTTTTTTTTCTATGATTTTTTGTCCACAGATTTGTTGTTTGTTTTTTTTAATGTTGACGAGTATTAATTTAAACGAATGTGCTACTTTTGAGATTTTTGCGTATTATTTTTTTGTTTTTTGAAGTGTCAACCGGCTTTTAGATATGAGAAATGTTTGATAATTTTTTTGCTGTTCTGGTTGAAATGATTTTTTTTGTTAAAAATTTAAAGTTTTGCTAATTGTGTTAATCATATATATTACTTCAATATATTTTTTCATCATTTTTGTTTATTTATAAAATGAAAAAAAACGTTGATAATAATTAATCTATTTAAAATTTGAATAAAAACTAAATAAACTCAATTTATTTTGAATGACGATAATATTTTAATCAAGCTTAATGCTGTTTTGATTAAAAACATTCTTTTTTTCAACCATACAGTTTGAAAATTCATGAAACCTGCTAACAAACAACCATTCAACCCAAAAATCAATCAAGCAAACAAAAAACATTAAACATATCAGTCATATATCAATATATCGTCTACACGATATATTACAGTTGTAGTTAACTTCATTTAAAAAACTTATAAAACTGTCAGCAGATCAGCAAACCAATCACTCACTCAACCAACCAACCATTCAACCATTCAACCAGCTAACTACACAAGCTACTAACCAACAACTCAATCAATCAATAATCCTCTTCAGAAATTATCTCCTTCGTTTGAGAGCCGCAGATTTGAGCCTCTTAGATAAAGTCGACGTGCATTCAGACGCAGACACTCAGAAGACATGCATCTATAAAGGTCAACAAAAGGTCAAGTTCGTTATATTAACGCACATACACACGCACACAGGCTTGTATACATGACACTCACACACGAAAACACACACACACACAAGAACACACACACACTTCAGTATATAAACAGACAAAACAATTTTTATTATTAAAATTTACTTAACTTCCAATTAAATGATATTTTTATTATTAATATAAATTTTAATTTTAATAATAAAAATTAAAAAAAAATTTTTTTGCTGACCATGAGCATGCATATTTGTAATCCGTCACAACGTACAATCTCTGTATGTCTCTTTCTAATTAATGGATTGCTCGGACCGTCAATTGGTTGAATGATTGATTGTATTATTAATTGATTGATGGATGGATGGTTGGTTGGATGGATGGATGGATGGATGGTTGGTTGGATGGATGGATGGATGGATGGTTGGTTGGATGGATGGATGGATGGATGGATGAATGGATGGATGGATGGATGGATGGATGGATGAATGGATGGATGGATGGATGGATGGATGGATTAATGGATGGTTGGAGGAATGAATGAAAAAATTAAATGATTGATTGACGGATGGGTTAAAGGATTGAGGAATGAAATGATTGAAAGACCGATTGATGAATTAATGGATTGATAGATGAATTAATTGATTGACAAATGATTGAATGAATTAATGAACAAATGAGCAGACTGGCGGACACTAAGAAGTTCAAATAGTTCAGTTGGTTAGTTTCATTATCATTCTCACAAAACCATGAAAAATAAACAGAGATCTAAGAAATGTGAAAATTTAAAAAAAATTGCTAACCCAGAACTCATACACATGTACACTTCTTTATCTCATCCTTTTTATTATTATACAACTATTGCAATATCGCACCATCATTATAAAAAAATTCTCCTACACATATTCATACACAAACATACACGCACAGACACACACACACACACAAACAAACACGTAAGAAGACACACACACACAAACAGATGGATTGTGAGAACTTTCAACGTGTGCTCATAAGAAGATCGGATCAGTTACTCTCTTGCGGTACCAATTGTTTCGCTCCTGCATGCCAGTGGAGAAAGGTTTGTTGTTATTTCGTTTGTGTGTTTGTTGTTTTGTTTGTGTGTATGTTTGTTTGTTTGTTTGTGTGATTTTGCTGTTTTGTTGTTGTTTTTTTGAATTTTTGATGTTTTGTTTGTTTGGGTGTTTGTGTGTGTGTGTTCGTTTCGTTTGTTGTTTGCGTGTTTGTTGGTGTTTTGTTATTGTTTGTGTGCATGTATACTTTTGTTTCGTCTGTTTATTTGTTTGTTTGTTGTGGTATAGTTTTTAGTATTATAGCCCGATAATAAAGTTTTCAAGCAGTCATGTAATTTTGTCATAGAAATTGTTCTTAAGATTTATAAAACGCCTTAGAATTTATGTTGTTTCGGCATGAAATAACTTTCAGATATGTTTTCTTTCATCAGACACATTGCCTACCTATCGTGCAAGCAGTTTGCTGGTACTTATTTTTGTATTTCTCCAGTTATAAATTATCAGCTATAAAACACAATGGACAATTAATAATTCTTTGCAGCTCCATTCTTTTCCTTTCTTTGGTGTGCCCAGAAACCATCCATCAGCTCTTCTCAATACGTTAATTGGTCCTGAGAATGTGTTTGCATGTGCGTGTGTGCGTGCGCCCGTGAGTGTGCTTGTATGTATGTGTGTATGTATGTGTGTGTGTTTGTATGTGTGTGGAGATAGTAGTTTGAATGTTTGTATGTATATACGCGTTTGTGTTTGTGTACATCTTACAATACCTGAAAGTGTCTTTGTATGTGTGCGTGTGTTTGTATGTATTCGTATGTTTTTGAGAGGTGTATGTATGTATGCATGGCTGTATAGTGATATGTTTGTAAGGGTGTTTGTTTACAATTACATTAGCCGGCGCTTTTGTTGACTAAATTTTCTTGTTTTTCCTTGCAAGAAAAACAAACTTCTGATTCTTCTTGTTTTTCGGTTTTTATGTATTTGTTTTTTATTTTTATTTCTTTGTATTGTTTTCAATTTTTATGTATTTTTTCATTTTTTTTGTTTTGTTTATCGGTTACTATGTACTTTCTTCTTCATTCCTTTGTTTAGTTCTGTGACGAGTAGAGAGTTGCTAACATCCAGCAGAGTTCCACTCAGCAAGGATCTAATGATTAAAAAAAAAGATACAACATGTGCCACGTGTCAATGCCTGTCTGCGTTTGTTTGTGTGTGCATGTGCACGTGTGTGTGTGTGTGAAGTGTGTGTGTGTAAAATGTGTGTGTGTGTGAAGTGTGTGTGTGTAAAATTTGTGTGTGTGTGAAGTGTGTGTGTGAAATGTGTGTGTGAAATGTGTGTGTTTGAAGTGTGTGTTAAGTGTGTGGGTGTGAAGTGTGTGTGTAAAATGTGTGTGTGTGTAAAGTGTGTGTGAAATGTATGTGTGAAATTTGCGTGTTTGAAGTGTGTGTGAAGTGTGTGTGTGTGAAATGTGTGTGTGTGAAGTGTGTGTGTGTGAGATGTGTGTGTGTGAAATNGTGTGTGTGAAGNTGTGTGTGTGTGTGTGATAGTTTTTTCTTTTGTTTTGTAGGCGTACGAGTGCA